GGACAAAGACTGCGACATGGTATATAAGAACATCTCTGACATATATAAATCTGGGGAGTTTAAGACCTACGACAACTTTGTTTCGTTAGTTGCTGAATGTGTATGGCAGATAAGAGATAAAGATAGAAGATGTAAAATATGGAACGAACAAATAAAACCAGCAACTTTTGAGTTAAAGAAAACCATTGACGCCTTAGTCATACTAGCAGGTAAGGTTTCAATGTACAATGCTAAAATGAACCCGCAATGTTCTAAATGTAAGGCAGCAATTAGGAAATATAACTACTCAGTCAAAGAGATAGAACGTATGAGAAACGACTATGCAGACTTAAAGAAAGAAGCAGAAAAACCAGCAGAAGATAAAATGGACATGTTAGCATTTCTGAACAAAAACTATCCAACAGCAGAAGATTTCCTTCTATCTGACGTCAAGAAGAAGTATAAAGAAACTTTCGGTATCGTTAAAACATTCGATGTACTGACAGAAGAAATAGAAGCTACGAAATTGTTTAGGATTTCAAATATACATCATACAATTCATGTAAAACGCTTATAAAATAACAGGTGAAAAAAGAGGTGAAAAAAGAGGTGAAATCTCACCTCTTCACCTAAAATATATTTTTATTGAATTCAGCAACAAAATTCTGAGTAAAATAATTTTTAGGGCTTGTGTCAAACCGTTGAGTTTTCACAAAATTTAAAAAATAATGTTTACCATGTGAAACGCTTATAAAATAACTGAGGTGAAAAAACAGGTGAAAAAAGAGGTGAAATCTCACCTCTTCACCTAAAATATATTTTTATTGAATTCAGCAACAAAATTCATGAATTTCCTCATATGTTTGCTACCCTCGGAAAACCGAGGATAGAGATTCCATTCGAAAATCGTAAAAAATTGCGACCCGCGGAAAACCGAGGAACGCCTAAAACACATGAAAATCGTGAAAAATTGCGACCCCGACTTTTACAGGGGTCGCCTAAAACACATGAAAATCGTAAAAAAATGACCAAATTTCATGATATAACTGTATCTTTTATACAAGATAGAAAAAATAAAATTAACGTTAGTTTTTATTTTTTTTATTTTTTTATTTTGTATGTAAGAACAGGAAATGACAAACACTGAGTTTGAAACAGTTAAAAAGATAGACAATGACACCAAAGTGGTTAGAATTGGTGATTTAAACGTAAGATACTCAAAGAAATACAAAAAATATTCCTTGTCAGACATTCTAACACTATCTGAAAAGAAAACATCCCACGACTGGGTTAGAAATGCTTCTACTCAGAAAATTTTGACAAAAAATCCTGAGCTTATGATATCGGTAAGATTCTATGGAACAAGAGCATATCTTATAGACAAAAGTCTTATACCAGTAGTTTTGTTCTGGATTGACCCAGTTGTTGGATATAATTTCATAACATATGGTTCATTCGATACGGAACGTTGCAGTGAAGGCTTACTTTACATCGTTCAGAAACCGAAGGACTTCAATACAAAGAGATATAAGATAGGAAGAACATTTAATATAACTCAAAGATATGACAGTATAGTCAATAGAGTTAAGGTTGCGTTTGTTAACGATATGAGAGCTGCAGAAACAGAACTACTTGAAAAGTTTGAGAAAATGTATGGTGCTCCCACGAAAGGTAAAGAAACGTTTGAAGTAGATGAGATAGATAGTGCTATAAAATTATTTGACGAAGTTGCTGAAAAATACATGTAAAGCGTTTATTTTTGGTCTTTTATACAAGATAGAAAATAACGCTAATTTTATTTTTTTTTATTTTTTTATTTTGTATGTAAAGACAGATATGTCAACAACAGAGAACACAACAACTGCTATCGTTCATGAAGCTATAAATGAAGAATATGAGTACATACAGTTTAACAAACAACTCCGTCTCATTCGTTCGGTCAAAGACGACATGTACCAAATGCAAAGTATTTTGACAGAATGTTTTGCTCCAGATACTAAGGTTCCTAAAGACTGGTTTAGGAACCAAAGCACTATTGAACTATTAAATGAAGCACAGCGAGACAGACTTTTTTCTGAAAATCGTGAAGAACAGCGAGTGGGAGAAAAACCCCAGTCGCCAAAACTCTATGAAAATCGTGAAAAATTGCGAGTGGGAGAAAAACCCCAGTCGCCAAAACTCTATGAAAATCGTGAAAAATTGCCAAACGGTTTGAGAGGATATTATGTACATAGACTTCTTGTAAATGCTGTTGCAATGTGGGCTTCGCCTCGTTATGCTTGGTATATTTACAGACTTCTTGACGAAATTCATAGACAAGAACGTGAAGAGATGGAAAAGAAACTTCAAGCAAAAGACAAAAGCATTCAGAAAAGAATACCACGTTCGGTACCAAAAGGAAAGGAAAAGAACTATAAGTATATGATTTATACTGAAGAGATGGAAAATGAAGAAGATAAAGATATGGTTATGTTGCATTTAGTCAGAAGAAACAACAAAAGCTTTTACGACCTTGCTAAGATTTACAAATCTGACAGAAATTGGTTCTATCGCGAAAACTTACCGATTTCAATGACACCGAATGAAGATGTGAAACAAATAGTTCAAGATACGTTACCTCAAACACACTATGATATTAAAGGTTGTACAATTCTTACCTTCAAAGAAGATTTGCCATTGTTAAAGGAAAAAATAACAGAGTATTTTGACAACTTCAAACAAGCAGAGTAGATGAACCATTTATTTTTACGCTTGACACCAAAGATGGCTCAGGTAGCTCTATAAAGTAAATTGTCTTGTCAAATCCTTCTGGCATTCCGAGTCCTTCCATCCGACAAGAAAAAAATTTCCCGACAACTGGAAAAAAATTTCCCGACAACTGGAAAAAAATTTCCCGACAACTGGAAAAAAATTTCCTGTTGTTCGTCCGTAAACCATTCAAATTTTCGAAAATTGAGAACTTTTTGGTCGAACGACAGAAAAAATTTTCCTTCCGACAGGAAAAAAATTTCTTGACAACTGGAAAAGTTTTTCCTTCCAACAGGAAAAGTTCTTCCTTCCGACAGGACACAAACGAATGTCCGACGTTCCTCTTCCTGAATGTCTTCCAAAGCCAGAAGAACCGACAGCCCCAGCACCACAACAGACTAAGACTCAAACACTTACATTTTTACGCTTGACTTTTTACAATTTGAACTTTGTTCGCGTAGATGTGAATTCTGAAAGAAGTATGAGGGTCTTGTATGACTTTGTACTTCTCCCAGAGTTCATGTCTGTCAAACTTACCTGCCATGGACTCTTTCATAAGTTCCATGAAATCGTCTTCGGACAATCCAGGAAAAGATAATGTCAGTAAGTATTCTCTTTACATCCTTACTTAAACTCTTTGCTGTCTGTACACAAATGACAACAAGATGTTAAAGTGCCTAAGTTTCTTAAGAATTCGACACATGTCTTGTTCTCTATTCTTTAACAAAGGATGAGAAGCAAAGTCATCTAAGATAAGAAGACACCTATGAGGTAAGTCTTCCAATCGTAAGATTGCAATTTCTTCGAAATGTATTCTATCTCTTTCTGTTTGTTTCTGAAGTGTTTCTTCTCTAATATTCTCTGCATTTCCTCATTTGGGTCTTTAAACTTCGAATTGACATACTCATTTATAGCATTGTACTTCAAAACTCTTCTTTGGTACTTCTTTATCCAATCTAACAACTCAGAGTCTTTTATACATACTAACTTAGACTTCTTTATAATATCTTTGAACGAATTTACGGTTTGATCGAATTGACCAGAAGTACTACAAATGACTACTAACTCATAGAATGGGTTCTTCTCATCTAGTTCTTGTTGTTGTGCAGCCATTTTAAGATAAGTGAAAGTCTTACCCGACCCAGGCGGTGTGATTAGACCTGTTATACCATTCTGAGCAAATAGGAACTTGTCATGTATGGGTTTTATCTGAGCATTTTCCAACTTCCTCTTGTTCTTGTTTAAAACATTCTCAAATTTCTTGTCAATGTCAGCAAACTTTTTTTCTAACATATTTTTAGAAAATTAAAATTTTTATTTTTTTTGAAAATGTCTAGCGATTTCGCTATCTATATTCGAGACAAACTTTTCGACAGCAAAAACATCTGTCGACCATAAAATCTTACATAGTGTCAACAAGAAAGGTGAATTTGTTCTAAAGTTCTGTTTCTGGGAATATGACAAGAACCATAAAACATTAAGCAGAGAAGTCTTTAAGTTTGTCAATGACAGACTTGTTGACAGAGATGACGCCGATTGGAAAGATGAAGTCCAACAAAAGTTCTTAGAATGCAAAGAAGGCACATGCGCTGTTCTTGAAGATGAAATAGAAAACAGAATAGAAGAGCTATTAAAGGACAAAGAACTTTTACATAAATATGGTTGCGCCAAATTTGACATAACTCCACCAGAGAAGAAGAAGAAGAGAGAAAAGAAAGAAAAGAAAGTAGAAGAAAAGAAAGTAGAAGAAGAGAAGAAAGAACCAGAGCCAGTTCCAGAGAAAAAGAAATTTGACATGTAAAAATAAAATTTTATTTTTAGAACATTTCTGGGTCAATGTCAATGTTCTCTTCCTCTTTAGGGGCAAACACTGGCTTAGACTCTAAAATCTTTTTACCCAATTTACCTTGAACTTCAACTATCTTAGACTCATAATATTCATAGTCGTCTGCTTTCTTTGGTTCATAAGGTATAACAAGTTTGTATGCTTTGCCTTCTTTAAGGTTTGAAAACCTTCTGTCAAAATTTTCTTTGACTGCTAACAAACCTTCTATGTCTAAGTCTTCAAATTTCGCACCATTTTTAGTCACAATAGCAAACTTAACGGGTTCGATGTTCCAAACTTTGTCATATGTAGACTTTTCAAAATGGTAGAAGTAAACATTCAAATAAGCGAATGGGTCTAGTTCTTCTTTGACTTCTGTCATGTACTTGTTGACTGAGATGAATTTCATCATCTTTTCTATCGGATAAAAAAATATTTTTTTTAAAATTTACTCATAAAAATTTTTCTTTGTATATACGCCGTTCTGAACATCTAAAAGATTTTTGACATTTGCCAAGAATGTACGTTTAGAAGCTGCCATATAACCATACTCTTGACAATACTGTTTATACGAATCGTACAATGACCTTTCATCTAAACACTCAAAGTTAGTCTCATCTATGAACAGTTCATATACACTCTTGTTTGCTTCTAACAATGTTTGTCTTTCTTCGGTATGTGGAATTTGTCTTGGATTGAACTTAGAAATATCTAATGTCATGAAATATGAGAACAAGTGGTTGTAAAAGTCAGATGTCAAAGTTTCTGCTAAGTCGTCAAAATATTCTGTATCTTGCATATGAGAATCTGACGTTCTGACAACTACATATCTTCTGTCAGAACTTTCTAACTTCATCGGAACAACATTGTTTGAAACCATGACGAAGTTTGCAACATTTTCACAAACTCTTTGGTCTTTATATTTTCTTTCAACAACTCCAACTTTGTCTGTTATAAGACTCTTCAAAGCATCTGAGTTTAAAACCTTTGTTGTATCTATACTTTGAAGTTCGTTACATACTATAAGTTTCATATTCTCTATTGAAGAGTTAAATTTACCGCAGATGTTTTCTAAGTTTGTCATATTAGGGTTCGAATAGCCCTCTAACAGTTTGCACAAAATATCTGTAAAGAAAGTGTTCTTACCAGTTCCTTGTTTTCCAATTATAATGAGAGCAGTTTCATTTTTAGCACTTGGATATTGTAAGATGTTTGCAAACCAACATAAGATATACTCATAAACCTTTTCGTTTCCATTGCATATAATTTCTTTGACATGGTCTAACCAAGCTTCTATAACATTTTCTTTCCATTCTACTTGTTCGTATTTATATCCAGTGAAGATAGAATAGAAGTTTGGAGAAGGTGTATAGAACTTTATACCACGAACTGAAAAATCTTCTAACTTTGACAATAAGATATCCCAAGCATCTAACATCTTCATACCAACTTGCACGACTTTTATTTTCTTAAGTTTCTGTCTACATTCTTGTTCTGAAACTATGGTTGCTCTTGGTTTGTTAAAGACAACATCCCATTCTTTCATGACATAACATTCTGGGGCAGAGTCGACATAAATGACTAAACGTTTCAAATTCTCGACTGCTTTGTTATAGTCTCTAAATGGACACATATTTCTGAACGCTTGGAAGTCATAAAAATCTGAAACGTCTATTCTGTACATTTTTATAAAAATAAAAAAAATATTTTTTTTATTCTTGACTTGTTGTTTCCATTTGTTGCATTTGTTGTTCTTGAGCTATTTGTTGTTGAAGTTGTTCTTGTAGTACAATACTTTCACCAGTTGCATCTTCCAATTCGAAACTTTCTGCCGTCATTGACAAATACATAGGACATAAAAGTTTTACAGGAACAAAGTTTGCGTCGACTAATGTCAACGTTATGTTTGCTAAAGTGTTTGAGTTCACTAAGGTTGAAAACTCTGCATTCGAATGAACAATAGGCAAACCAGCAGAGAAAGTGTTGTTTATACGCATGAGTATCTTTTGGTCATAGTAGTTTCTGTCGATATTCGAATAGCACTTTGAACCTAAGTTTGAAACAATATATAAAATAGGTGTACTTAAAGTCAATGGAACAGACAAACCTTGTATGACACCTTTTCCTGTTATAGGAAACTGTTGGTAGTAAAAACCAGATATAAGTTTTGTATTATAGCTCATATCGTTTATACTAAACTCAGTCGGACATCCAAACATAATGAAACCTGCTCTAGTTGCAGCACATGTTACATCCGTCCTTAAAGTATTAAATAAGTCAACAAAACCTGTTGGTGGTATATCTGAGTAAGTATCTTCAAAGAAGTATTTTTTACCATTCACAACAACAAAGTCTTCTGGTGTCAAAAGAGCAAAACAGGCTTTAGTCGTCATCGTGTTTAAGGTCAGTTTACAATATCGTCCTTGAGGACTTTGTAAGTTTGCTGTTATAGAATTATATGACTCAGGGTTTTTAGTCGTAATAGTATAAACCACTATGTCTTCTGCCATTTACTTAGCAAGTAAATTTTAATGAAATGTTGTGGTCGTCAAATATTTTTTATGACGTCTGGGAAACTATATTTTAAGTTCAACGTTTCACCTCCTTTCATAACGTATATCTTGTCAATGAACATTATATGAAACACCACAGCAACTAACGTCGGGTTCTATTTCTTTGATGTTTATATCGTCTGCCTCTGTCAAAAGTTTCAATAGTTCTTTCAAAACTTCATGAGGTGCAATGACATATGAGTTCACTTTTACAGGGTTGTGCTCAACCAAGTTTAACATTATACCCAAAGCCTGACAAATCTTCTCCTGAGTTTTAAGTTTGTCTTTAAGTTGTTGGTAGTCGTTTCGAATATCTGCAACAGAACTTAAGTCTCTGCTAACTTCAGGGTATGTTGGTTGTTCTTTTACAGGAACTATTGTTATACCATCTTCGTCTTCGTATGGTTTCCCCACTTCAACATCTCTTTCTTTGACATTGACAACAACACTTTGACTGTTTGTTTGAGTTGGTGAATTTAACTTCACATCTGCCATCGCCATTAAACCTTTTGAAACACTTACGCTTCTATTTTTCGGAAATGACATTTTACTTAGAATAAAAAGATGGACGTATTCGAGTATCTCTTCGAATTGAAGCAAAACAAAGTTTACACACACAAACAATACAAGTTCATTGACAGAATAGTTCTTTATACAAACAATGGAAAATGTTATAGAATAGCAGTCTTTGCTGAACCAAAATATTTTCATAAAGCAAAGAAAGTTGGTATAACCGAGATGGTGAAAGTTCTTGAAGCAGACAAAAATATAACAACAAAACTGACCGATATTTCTAAAGGTAAGTTTATAATACAATATTATATCAAAACTGGCGTACTGTCAATATTTGACGGAGAGAAGTCAGTTCAAGAACAACTTACTGACCTGCTGCCAAAATCTGCTCGATGGAAGCTGTCGTTATACCAATCTGAGGAGCCCCAGCAGGTTTCATCGAACGAATCTTCAAAAGAGCATCTTCCGTGAAAAGTGCTATTGGTTTTGTAAACTTCTTTGCTTTCAATTCATCTGGACCGTCTCTGTCACCAGTATATTGTATTTGAACTGTACCAACAGTTGAAATACCACCCATAAAGTCTTCTGAGTCAGCAAATGGAATGCCAAGCCAAAAGTTTGAACGGTCTCCATTTGTATATTGAGTTTTTTTGACCTCCTGTATGAGTCCATACTTTCACATATGGCATAATAGAACTTTGCATTTCAGGGTTTATGGTTGTTTGTGAAGTTGTTGTTAAAGTTCATAGCATCTAATGTCAAGTTGTATGACCTCATATCCTCAACTGTAGAATATTCTTCTCTTGGATAGTATTTGCCATCTATGTTTATATGGTATTTAATACCAGGGTTGTAGAAGCAAGAATAGTCATTTATAGTTCGTCTGAACAGTACAAACATAGTATCTGCATGTTTCATTGCAGTTGTTAAAGCAATATCTGTTCTTTGCACCTGGGTCAGCACTTTGGTTTCCAACTTCACCTGCAAAGTCTTTGACAGATATTTGGTGTATAGGGAACATAAGTGGAACTGCAATATATTTGGCAGCTAAAGCATTTGAAATATCTGGGTCCAACATATAGACTGCAAGTCTGCTTTCTATTCTCTTGCATTCAAATTTTTCGCATGTGAACTTAACTGGGTCCCAAGCATCTCCAGCAGCATTGAAAATAATAGTTTACTTCAGTGTTGAGGTTTGAGAAACCAAAGTCTAAGTCAACTTTGTTTTTTGCAAAAGTCGGCGAATGACATTTTATTTGTTCCCACTACTTCTGTAAGAGTGAATGGGTCTTGTGTTGGTGCAATGACTAAGTTATTTTTGCTTGGAGTAAGTTCAATAGAAATTTTTCCTGCCCAGTTTGGCAAGTATCTTTAAAAAACCTGAAGATGAGGAAAGATGACAAAGGAACTCTAAGTTTTCAGTTTTACTTTGGTTACTGCTGCTGCAGTTTGTCCAGAAAGGTTAACATAAACTCCTGGAACGTTAGGGTCAAGTCTTCTTATTTTCTCAATGGTTGCATACTGGTCTGTTTGTTCTCTAGCTTGTGGTTGTACTGAGTTTCTCAAAGCGAACCATTCATAGTTTGCCCATGTTACTGTTTGAACTAAGTCAGAGTTAGAATATATCTTATATCCCATGAAAACTTCTGGAGCATATTGGTATCCGACATAGAAAATTCCATTGCAACCTTTCTTGTCAGACAACTTGGCAGAAGGTTTTATTTCAATGTCTTGTTCCACGTATAAGAATGAGTTGTCAATAGAAATTATATGAAACCTGTCGCAAGCAATATCTACTGTTGTTGAAGAACCTTCTCCAAACTCACCTACGTTTCCATATGAAACAGCAGTTGTATATTCGTAAGTTCCAGGAACTATTTCTGACCTTCTAATGGCATTGTCGCATTCGTTATACCATTCGGAAACATTTCCATTCATAGCATCCAAAACTGTTGGCGTTATATTCTGAGCGGGTACATTTCATATGAGTAAAAATATAGAATAGTTGGATTTATATGTCATAATAGAACCCACGTGGACCAAGCTTTACTTTCTTCCTGACTGAGTTTTTAACTCTTCTTTTTCCTTCATTGCCCTCTGCTTGAAGTTGTTGCATCTTTGCATTATGTTCATCTAGTATGTTGCAAATTTCCCATGTTCTTTTTGCCTTTTGGCTCTGGTCGCCCATCTCAGGTAACCTATATCCTAGAAAGAGTTTGTCATAGTCTGTATTTGAGTCTTCGCGTATTGTTTGCATGACTCTTTCCTGAGTTTCTGGTTCAAGCTCTTCAAACAGAGCTTGTCCATATGGAATAAGCTCGTTTCCAAATATATGTTTTTGTAGCCATTCTGGTTTTCTTTCCATGTTACCAACTATATCTTTTGTGAATGGGAAAGCTTTTACCCAATCTTTCAGTCTTGCGTCGTTTATTTCTGTAGTTGGTTTTATTTTGTCAAGGAACATGTTTTTCAATACTAACATTTCATTTGGTACTGTCCATTTGAGTTTTCTTAAATATTCATCCCTTCTCGATTCATCGCCTGCAAAGTAAGTTTTTTATGACATTTTGTAAACTTTCGTTTGCAAGGTCATGTACAATAGGTTCTCTTCCTTCTCCCTCCCTAACTTTCTTTCTAAACTCTTCACCAAATATACCATCTCTATGGTTCTGTGTAGTTCTTTGAGATAAATGTTCTAGAACGTCAGGTGTTATATTTCCATCAGCCATGTTCATTTCATACTGGTCCAAAATATCTGCATCTTTCATATCTTTCAATGGCATTAAAGCCGCGCTTAAAATACCAGCTATATCTCGTTCACCATTGACTTCCATTGCGTCTACAACTTCTTGGAATTGTGGTTGTAAGTTTATGAACCACCTATCTGGATTAGCTTTATGACCCCATCTCATTGTAGTTCCATCGTCTGCAGAAACAAAAGTAGGTTTGTTTCCATCTTGGTTAGGTTCTGAATGAACTTTAAACAATGTTTCATTTCTATATGTTTTCTTGAAATTTAACCTTTTATTTTCACCGAGTTCATCCGAAGATTGAACGTTAAATGCTCGTAAGTAAAAAGGGTTGTTGTATTTGTGTACATTTTCTTTCAGTACTTCCATTCTATGCTGAATATTTTCATCTGGTGCTGGAGTCTTTTGTATGTCGGCAAACATTTTTCGATATTCTTCTACTATGTCAGCCGAATTTTTTTTAGACTCTTGGAAATATTCCATATTCTCCGCATACTCTTGTTGAGGGTCAAGATTTTTCGGCTGTTCCAAATCTTCATCTAGTTCTGTGAAGTTAGTTTCCAAAGGAGTGACTTGTTCGTTTCCTTCAGGCTCTTCTAGCTGTTGTTGCTGAACTATTTCTTCCATGTCTGGTTGTATCTGAACTTCTTCCTGTGGAGTTTCTTGTACCTCATCTGCTGGCATTTCATATATTCCGAGACCGTTTTCAACAATTTCCCTATCTACGTCATCCGCATTCATAAGCTTTTGTTCTTTCGTTCCGTCTCTATTTTTTACGCGTTTCATGACGAAAGTTGAATTGTCATTTAGCTCTGACATCAAATATCTCGGAGTAAATTCATCCATGTCATTTGGATGATATGCTATTAAATCATATCCCTTAGCGAGCTTGTATTTTCCAGGTTTGAGATTATATCCGTTTTGGTGCTGAGCCATAAAGCTAAATAGGTTCGGGTCAGTATTTCCATCCTTGAACTTTCCAATAGCTTCTTTATATCTGTCACTAAAGTCAAGAGTATCTGGGAAACCACACTCTTCTTTAAGCATTTTTAAGAAATCTTGGTTTCCTTGTTCTCTACTTCTTTTATGTCCTTGCTCTGTTTGTGGTTGCTGTGCTGGTTGTGGAGGTGGTTGTGCTGGATTTTGAACTGTTGGTTGTTGTGCTGGTTGTTGTGCTGGTTGTTGTGTTGGTTGTTGTGTTGGTTGTTGTGTTGGTTTTGGTGCATGCCTGTGTCTGTGTCCATGTGACGATGTAAATGTTTTAGGTAGTCCTGGTGCAGGTGCTTCTCTTGGAGGGTTTGGTGGTATATAAGTTCCACCAGCTGGCACATATGTTCCATCTGCAGCATAATGTCCTACCTGACTTTTCGTTCTTAAGAAAGCATTTACTAGGTCTGTTTTGGTCTGTTGTAACTCTTTTTCTTGACTTTCCACAACAGTTGCTCTAACGGCGTCATAGGCACTTTGAACTGCCTGTCTCGTTGCTGCATCTGTTATTTTCGTCATATTTTGTGCTACTTCTTTTAACTCTTTGTCGAAACCTTCAGACTTCAGTTTCTTTCCAGATGAGAAGTCGTTCACTTGTTTCACCTTACTATGAAGAGCTTCGAAAGCGTTCTTAAAGTCAGCATTTGTTAAAGCTTCATTTGAACTATCTTCATCCGCTTGTATTTTTGTCCTTATTGACCCTATAAGCTGGGCTGCTTTGGCGTTGGCTTGGGCATCTAACCAGTCATTGTTAGCTTTTATATATTCTGCGCTTTTCATTGCCTTTTGCATGGCTGCGTCGTTATTTTTACTTTCTTGTGCTAAGTTTTCATACTGTACGGTTTGGTTTTGCAACTGTAAAAGTTTTTCTGCCTTTACATTTGCTTCAACTTCTTTTTTACTCATCGCTATCCATATATGTCTTCAGGGCTTTTTGTTTTATCTCTTCATCTTTCAGTACTTTATATTGAGTAGTATGGTTTTTCAAATTTATGACATCTTGTTCCATTTTTGCTACTTCTGCTGCTTTTTCTGACACTTTTTTCGCATATTCCTCTGTACTTAGTTCTTTCAGTTGTTCTTCTTTCTTCTTTTTCTCTACGTTTAACTCATTGAGTTTCTTTGTGTGTCTGTCATATTCTAGTTTCTTTTCGTTTTCACCTATTTGTTTCTGTATGTCTATGTTTGACTTTTTGACATCTGCTATTTGATTTTTGAGTGAACTCAAATTCATTTGACTTTGAGGGTTATATGCTGTTCCGTCTGCAGCTCCACCATAGCCTGCCATTTTCGCTAAAAGTGCCGCTCTTAAACCTCCACTCTGTGCACCAAGAACTCGGTTTAAGAGCATAGGATTGCTTGACATTTGTTGCAACATAGTGGGGTCATTCAGCATTTGTTGTTGCAACTGTTGTTGTGGTGTCAGTCTTACTATTGGATGTTTCAATGCTCTCTTCCTCTTACGTATATTCTTACGTAGCTTACGTGGCATTTTAAGTGAAGTTAAAAAGCGGTTTTTGACAGATGTTTATTGTGACTTCTTCGTAAAGACTTTGTCAAGACTTCTTCGTAAAGACTTTGTTGAGATTTCTTTGTTAAGACTTTGTTGAGATTTCTTCGTAAATGACCCAAAAATATATTTTAGGTGAAGAGGTGAGATTTCACCTCTTTTTTCACCTCATTTCTCACCTCTTGAATTTTCATGAATTTCTTCGTAAAGACTTTGTTAAGACTTCTTCATCTAATTTCTCATGAACTTTCTTGTCTATGTTTTGTTGAGATTTCTTCGTAAAGACTTTGTTGAGATTTCTTCGTAAAGACTTTGTCAAGATTTCATCGTAAAGACTTTGTTGAGATTTCTTCGTAAATGACCCTAGTAGTATATTTTTGGTGTAAATTTCATGAAAATTCAAGAGGGTGAAAAATTAGGTGAGAAAACAGGTGACATCTCACCTCTTCACCTAAACATTATTTTTGGTGTAAATTTCATGAAAATTCAACGGGTGAGAAATGAGGTGAGAAAACAGGTGACATCTCACCTCTTCACCTAAACATTATTTTTGGTGTAAATTTCATGAAAATTCAACGGGTGAGAAATGAGGTGAGAAAACAGGTGACATCTCACCTCTTCACCTAAACATTATTTTTGGTCATTTACACTCATTACGAAGAAGTCTTGACAAAACATTTACGAAGAAGTCTTGACAAAACATTTACGAAGAAGTCTTAACAAAGTCTTTACGAAGAAGTCTTAACAAAGTCTTTACGAAGAAGTCTTGACAAAACATTTACGAAGAAGTCTTGACAAAACATTTACGAAGAAGTCTTGACAAAACATTTACGAAGAAGTCTTGACAAAACATTTACGAAGAAGTCTTGACAAAACATTTACGAAGAAGAAGTCTTGACAAAACATGAAAACATATATAATTTGTGAAAAGTGAAACATTATATAATGTTTTCGACCAAGAAGACTAACAATTTTCCGAATAAAAACTTCATTTATACTAAACATCTTCAGGGCTAGAGGGCACGAAGTGCCTGGAAGCCCCACTTCCTTTTTTTTTTTTTTTTTTTTTTTATTGCAGCAGAAAATAATAATTTATATAAACTTTCTAAACTCAAAAGGTACAAATGAGCAGTATATTCTGTATTAAATAAATCAAAAGATGTGTTTAAGCCAGAATGATACAATGATGCTTGAATTATAGTTAGATGGGCATAAGTTTCATCCTTAATTACTAGTGATTAATATAAAACTTAAGACGGTTAGTATCTAGCCCCAATTTCACTCAACCAAAGTCTCTCATTGGTGTCGAAAAAATTTATTGTTCAGTAAGGATCTCGTATAGAGAATAATCTTCTCCAACTCTAAAATTCAGTTTGGAGAAACAGCAAATTGGCAAAATATGGATATAAATATCCGTCTAATTCCTAAATGTAACTCAGCTTGGACTCAAAGTCAATTTAATTAAGTATTGGCAAATTAAATCAATGAATATTTTTGTAAATTCATGAATGGTATAATTGATGGTAATCCGCATTAAAATGCGAAAGGAATCTCCCTAAGGCTGAACTGAATTTATTGGAAATCATTGAATTACAAATTTTAAAACTTAGTAAACGTTTGAAAGTGTACATTCGCCGTTTTCAGCCTGAGAAAAGGCATCATATTTAGGTTACGGTAGAATCGTTTGTAAGTTTCAATTATTAGCTGATACAACTGAATAAAATGAATCTTTTGAAAAAAAAAATGAACGTTTAGAAATTTATGAATGAATCGCGGGCAACTATATCAAGCTTTTTTGAAGGCGATTCTTCAATTTCAAAACGATCAAATTCATCAAGAAGATCGAATAAAAGCAAAATTCCAATAAAAATCGTACCAAAATCAATTCGTAAAATCAACTCTGAGGAAAATTCAGAAATATCACAAAATACAGTGAAAGAAAATGATAAACAATTGGATGACATTGAGAATGAAGAGAATGATGTCGAAATTTACGAAGAATATAAAAAATTGCAGAAAGATATTGATAAATTAGTACGATATAAACAACTAAAAGAGCGAGAATTGTCTGAACTTAAAACAAAGTCGCAGAAAGAAATCCAGATATACTTAAAGAAAATAGAATATTTGTCAAATACTTTTAATAATCCAGAAATGAATCAAAATAAGAAAAAAATTTCAAGCCAATCTGAATTATCAGAGGTATTATCTGCCGAAAAGGAATCATTTTTATCAGAAATTCATGATACTGATTCTGATTTAACAAAACAGAAAAAGTTCAGCAAATTTATAGATCAGCTTGAAGCAGTATACACTAATAACTATAATACTATGAAATATGATTTAGAAGAACAGAAATTGAAAGCAATTACAGAAGCTAAAAAGAATGCGAACAATGCAATTCAAGAAACAGAGATGCAACATGCCACTGAGATGGAGCAACTTCAGAACTACTATCAAAAAACTACTCAGGAACAATTGGAAACAATAAAAGACTTGAAATCAAAAATTGCCCGTTTGAGACCACAAGATACACAACAAACACAAGAATTCGATAATTCTGAAAAGAAGAAATCAGTTCTTCTTCTAGAAATTGAAAAACTTCAAAAAGAAAATAACGAATTAAAATTAAAAACTCAAGATGCAGATAAACTTTCAGCAGAACTTAAAAAAGTTACAGAAGTTGTTGAAGAACTAGAAGATGAAAAAGAAAATGAATTAATTGCAGATGAAGTATTATCAAAAAGATTCGAACAATTAGAAGAAGAAAGAAATGCGATGTATGACCAATTTGAAGCAATGATCAAAGATGTTCATCAGAAAGCAGAGTTTAGAGGATATATCCTTGCACAGAAGATACAAAAGATGAATGAAATGCTTGATAGCAAAGAAAGACAACTTCAAACATCAATTGCAAAAGGAAGTGTTGGAAATGCAATGCAGGTAAAGATAGATCAAGCTCTTGCAGAAAAGAATTCAAGAATTAATCAATTAGAATCTCAACTAATGAATATGCATAACGCATATGAAAAGATGACTGATATGTATGAGGCCAAAATAGCATCTTTTGGTGTTGATAATAATGCTTCATAATTTTCAATATATGATGTGTATTTTTTTTTGTTTTGTTATGATAAAATTTGTATTTATGTTTGTTAATTTGTTATTTTAAGTTTTCACACTTAAGTTTATCAATAATCAATAAACATTTCACTAGTTGTTATTACAATGATCAAGTAATAACTTGAAAACACTAATGAAATGGAAATATCAGTGATATATTCTATATCTTTGATTTTGAAATCATATTCTTTGCATGTAAACGATCCATTTCCATCAAAATATTGAGAGACAGACCCGAAGAATATGATTTCAAGTTTACCTTATATGAAATCATTTCAGTTCATGAAAAGGTTAAAGATAAAGAACTCTTTTAATTCAAATCTAAAAAGGCAACATCCAAAATAGTTAGAATTTCTCCCATTCTAAGAAATTCATTTGGTGATATTCCTCTTTATTTTGCAATATTAAAAGCCGTAAAAATGATTAACACATCAGTTGATAAACAATGATATACAATAGGTGTTATATTGATTTTATAGCTTGTGACCAAAATGATCGTTCATCGTATTGAGAAATTTTCTAATACTATATATTCAGGATCATTTATATAAATATGAATCTTTTTCGCTATTAGACAGCTACTATTAGAAATTACTGATGAAATATTGTGTTTTGGATTCGAATAACATTATGAAATGATTTTTATATGATATATATTAAGGCAAAATTGATTAACATGACAAAATAGAGATATATCTTTAAGGAAAATAACAACTTCATTATTTCATCGAATTTTTTTTTTCAAATTCCTGCTTATGCAATCATTGAATGATTTCATCAGCTCACTCAGAATGGCTTCCTCAATAGAGCAGGAAAAATACCTCACATCAACAGAACAAGCACATATCCGTGCAAGTCTTAAAGTTTGCGAAGCAAGTCAAAGACCAGTCATCGTATCTAAGCTTATGTTCCTCGATTTACTCGGGCATAATGTTCAGTGGGGTAACACCGAAGTCATCAACTTAATGTCAGATGAAGCTTTCAGCTACAAGAGAATTGGATATATCGGAGCTGCTCAATTACTTGATGCTGAAGATGATATGAACGTTCTCGTTACTCAAACGCTTCTCAAGGACTTACAAAGCCGAAATCCATACATCCAATCTCTTGCTTTAGCTTATATTGCTAATAATGCTTCAGCAGAAATATGCACATCAGTTGTTACAGAGGTTCAACGACTTATGCAAGGAAGCCCAGCTTTCGTTCTTAAAAGAGCAGGCATGGCAGCCGTTCGTATTGTCAGGAAAAATCCTGAATTGTGCGAAACATTCAAGAACTCAGTCCAATCATTACTTAACAATTCATCACATGGCATTGTCATATCAGGTCTTAACCTTGTTATTGAAATGCTTACAATTAATCCAAAACTCTCAAGAGCTTGGGCTCAATTTGCTAGTCCATTAACAAAAATACTTCAAAACTTAATTACAGGCAGGCTCAGACCAGAATACGCCACAGAAAACTTCTGTGATCCATTTATGCAAATGAAAACACTCAGAGCTTTAACATTACTCCACAAGAAGGCAGAAGAAACCGAAAACATCCTCCAAACAATCATAAACAAGTCAGATTTATCATCTAATGTTGGTCGTTCGATTATTTACGAAATGGCAGAGACAGTTGCCACTGTTTCGAAGTCCCAATCTACTTGTGGCCTTGCATTCAACTCAATTGGCCGTTTACTAGCTCTTAATGATCCTAATGCGCTTTATTCAGCCTTATGTGCCTTTGATCGTGTTCTTTCCCGACCATTGAAGGGCAAAACAGATGCAATGGCTCTCCAGCGTTACAAATCCAAGGTTGCCAAGTGTTTAGGTAACGATGATCCTTCAATTCGTCGCAGAGCCTTATCCGTCATTTCCGCCTTGATAGATGAGACCAATGCCGAAACCCTTATCCCAGAAATCCTCGGATACGTCAAACTTTCCGATCCAGATTTCAGAATTGATATCATCTCAAAAGTTTATCAAGCAGCAATGAAATTCAAGGCCAATGACAGATGGTTTATCTCGACTACCCTTGATTTGCTCAAAGAATCAGGTGGATACGTTGGAACAGATTTATTATCTTCATTCTGTGAATTTGTTGGCACCACCAGCGAAAGATCCTATGTCATTGAATGCCTCTCAGCCGCTCTCCAAGACGCCAACTCCACACAGCCTCTTCTCCAAGCCGCAGCCTTCATTGTCGGAGAATACGGAACAAACCCCGCTTCAATCCAAGATATTTCTGTTCTAATCCAACTTCCTAACGTCAAACTCGAGACCCGCCTCTACCTTCTCTCCGCGTTAAGCCGCATTGCCGCCAGAATCGGTGCTTCTCAGGAAATTTTGCCACTTTTGACAAAACTTCAGACATCAAACGACACCGAAGTACAGCAACGCGCAGGCGAATTAGTCCGTATGTTTGAGAAAGGCATTGCCACGACAGTTTTGGCAACAGACGACACACAACAAGACGACAAACTCGTGAAAGTCGATTCGAACCAAAAAGACGACGATGAAGAAGATTTACTTGGATTAGTCATGGACAACAAACAGACGACACAAACAACGACACCAGCAGCCAATACAAATGACATTCTATCATTGATTGCTGCTGCTCCTGTAGTAACAAATGTCGTAAACAAGCCAGTTGTAACAAATCAGTTACCTCCAGGAGTTGTTTACGATTGCGATGCTTTCTTTGTTAAATACAACCATTGCGCAAACGCACAGAATCCGAAACAACACGCCTTGCAGCTTGTTTTCTGTTTCAGGAAGTCTGTCAGCAATTTCTACGTTCAATACGCTGCAGCAATGGGATGGAGACTGCAGGCGCCACAAGGAAAAGCTGGCGATCAAGCGGAACAGTCGACAAAGACTGATGTTGTTTATGTTATGGATGCTGAAGGAAAACCATTCGGACTTAAAGTTAGAGCTAATTTCATCAGCGCTGGTCAGCAAATAAGAGATTTTACACTCGATAAGCAGTGAATATTTATATATAAATTTTATTTATTTTTATTTTTATTTTTTTTTACATTTAGAAGTGTCTCCACTCTGGCTTTGAAGTACGAACAGATAATATTCAGGAGTTAGAGTTTTTTTTACTTACGCCCCTATGACATGGCTTTCAATTCAGGTGTTTAAGGTTAATTTTCAATAACGTTTCACGCCAATTGTCAAAAATTTGAATCAAAGTCAGATGGGCGTAAGTGCAACCTTAAGGCTGAAACTTACCACTTTCTGACATTCTCTCAATATTTTTGACATTTTAGTTTTTTATCCAAATTTTCTAAGGTAAAAAGATATATTGATATTATGGGAGATCTGAATTGTTGACTTTTTTCGTCATCTGAGGTACTTGTACAGATGTTATATCCCAAATGAAGAACAAAGTCTTCAAAGACTACTTGAGAGAGTCTTTGAAGTTTTTCTTTGTCAATCAGATACTGATTTAAGACTTAGTTAATCATCTGAAGTACTTGTACAGATGTTGTACTAACAGATACTGATAAAGGATGAATTTGAACAAAAAAGTAGCATTTAGTTTTCTTATCGTTACAGCAATCCATTAATTCTCTACGTACTCATTGTTTAACATTGGGTTATATTTAAAATGTCTTACTAGTCTCAGAAAAACAATACAAAATTATTGGGACTATCTTCTGGATAGCAAAGAAATATGTAATCATCTTTAAATTCGTGTATATTAATGCAACATAATATGAGATATTTATACATAAATAATAGGAATATAATATTTATTCGTGTATATTAATGCAACATAATATGAGATATTTATACATAAATAATAGGAATATAATATTTATTCGTGTATATTAATGCAATTATTAAGCAATTGCAGCCCCATGCGCGACTAGGACTTGGACAATCCCTTTTGAATTCATTTTGATTGCAATACTAAGAGGGTATTCATTAATTTAGAGAGAATATCATAAAACAACGATAAATATGAAAAGAAAGATAATGAAATAAAATAATGATAAATATGAAAAGAAAGATAATGTAACAAAACAATGATAAATATGAAAGGACAGAGAATTTTATAATGAAAAGTAGTATATATTGCGGGTTTTGTGACTTTTTTTGTAAACGTAAGAATTCATACAATATTGAACGATTTTGTAAGTAATTTTCATAACAATGATAAAAAAATGTATGATTCTTACGGTTTTTATTCTTACGTTTTTGAATAAATCATGATTTAAAAATTTTCAGAATCGTAAGACATTTACACTAAACCCATACATAATGAAATAAAAAAAATAAAAAAATTTAAAAAATAAACTTTAAAAATTCATGTCTTACATTTTTGAATAATTTATTTTTTAATTTGTATGAAAATGAGTGGATCAAGATTCGTAACCGTCAATCAATTAATGGATGCTCTTTCACCAATTCTTGAAAATGTTAAACAAGTAGATGTTTATTTCGATGATTATGTAGAAAGTTTATATTATAAAGGTAAGTTTAATATTAAACTTATTGCTTTTGCATTTGATAATAAATTAATTGAAAATGCAAAAATTTGGGAATTAATTCCAGATATTGAATATATAACAAATATTAATGATAAATGGTTTAAACAAATTCCAACCACAAAAGTTCTTTGTAAATTAATGATCAAAACTGAGGAAAAAGAATTTAACGGGTTTAAATATCATCCAAATAAAGTTTCAGAACTAGAAAATGAAAAACTTCAGAAAAAATTAAACGATAGACTTTCAAATGATCGTATTGAAAAAATAAATAAACTAGCAGAAGTTGCATTTAATAATGAAATATTTGATGAATATAACCTTGAACTCAGTGATGGACTTTAAGTCCTGGGCACTTTGTGCCTTGAGCTTTAAGGACCCGGGCTCAACGAGTCATGATTTATGAAATCAATAATTTGATTTATTCGCTCTTCAATAATTTCTATTCTTTTTGTTAAATCATCAATTTTCATTAATGAGGTGATTCTTGATTGAGGAATAGATTTCAAACTAACCACTCCTTTTATTTTTGAAATTTTGAATCCATCAACTTTAAACATTTTATTCAATTTACATGTTGTCAATTCTTCAAATAATTTTTTATTATTAGCATAATAGTCATTAAATTCATCAACAGATGAAAAAAATTTTATTTCAGTAATTGGTTTAACAACGTTTATTTTTTGTTGAACATTTTCACTTTCATTTATTTCTTCCTCCTCTGTTTCATTTATTTTTAAAATTGGTTTCATTTATCATTAAATAAAAATTAGAATATAAGTGATGAAATATATTTTTTAATTAATATTAAATCAGAAATGGCGGCAGGATTCTTTAAAAAATTATGGGATGGAATTAAGAAAGCTGCAGGTTGGGTTTATAAAAAGGTTATTAAACCTGTTGCAAACTTTTTGGCACCAGTAGCGAAAACGGCAGGAACTATCATAGGTGGAGTATTAGGTACTAAAGCAGGTAATCCGGCGATGGGAGCACAAGCAGGTAACGCAATTGGTGGAATTGCTGAAGGAATACTTAATAAAATAGGGGGTAAATAGTGGAAAAATAAATAAATATTATTTTTATCTTAGTATTGGTTGTAGTCTTTGATAAACTTTTTCTCCTTTATTTAAAATTTCTCTTATTGGGGCAGCTTTTGGTGTTATTGATTCAGCAACGTCACTAATTGCTTCTTTATTCTTAAATATCCAATTCGCTCCTTTCTTCATTGTTTCCCAAACTTTATGCGCTCCTCTTTTTACTTTATCCCACAGTTTCTTAAAGAATCCTGCAGCCATAGTTGATTATTTCATTAAAATTAAAAATTCATTTTCATATTTTAATTTTGATTTTTTATTTAATAATAAATGACGACTAACTATTTGGTGCCAAACACTAAACCAATTAATGGAAATGTGTTTCATTCATTCGAAAAGATAAATGAAATATTCGCAAAGAATGACGGAAGAAGATATTATAGAGAACTTGAAAGTTCATGCTATGACTCTGATGCTCCATATTTTGATGATAAACAAACTCATTTAAGAATTACAAATCCGGCTCATGATGTGAACCAATTAGGTGACACATATATTAAACGCAAAGTTAAAGCAACTCTAGTTTCAAATAAAGCTTTCACATGTGATGCCGCTTTTAAATGTATGCGTTTATTCGTTGGTTACAAATCATCAAATCAAAGCTTTAAACAATTAGAAGTAGAAACCGAAAGAGGTGATGCCGGTTATCTTCAGATGGATTGCGCCCGTGAATCTTTCGCATTTGCAACATATAAACCAAAATCAGAAAGGAAAGTTAAAAAGTTTGTTCATTCGTTATATAATAATGTTCAAAAATATGATAACTCAGTATGTGGTAAATATATTGACCCTTCAGAAGTTTTCAAGAAAGCAAATGAAGAAGTTGATATCACTTTTGATATGATTATTCCGGTAAATGATTTGTTAGCATTTCAGGCGTTCGATGATTATCCTAAATCATTTGGTGAAATCATTCTTAAATATTATGTTTTCAGGGATACTTTAGTATTTTGTCAGGTTGACCCGTTAAGAGTTGCTGATTTACAAAATTACGTTTATGAAAAGATAACTGATGAAAATTATGAAAAGATTATGAATCATGTTTATAAATATGATCGCAAATTCCAACAAATCGGACTTCCTGCCAAATTAATTACAAGCTTAGCCGCTACATCTGCTGACGCAACAGTTGATGACGTTATTATTTCATGCACAAAGATGGAAGTTTTAGAGGATAAATGCATTACACCAGGATACGGTTTAATTGAAGAATCAGTTAAAGCAATACCACGTTTATTCAGTAAGGAAGATCCATTCATGATTCCAGCTCAACATATTGACGTTCGTTCACTAAATGGAGGTTGCATCACTCCTGAAGGTATCAGTTCAGATTTCTCATACGCTCTTCATAATGTTACAGATGTTGTGTTAGCATTTCCGAAGAATGCAATGCAAAGAACGGTTTTAGAAAATCCAATGCTTCGAGGTCTTCAGGTCACTATAGATTCCAGAAACTTCCCCGATCAAGCGATGACCACAGTGGGCGACATATTCTTTACACGTATGCTTCAAGCTTCTGATTTAGATGGAGTGAATGAATGCACGGAAGAATACGAGGACTCATTAACTAGACCACTGAATGATGATAATGGCACGCCATTAGCTAGAACATGGAAAGACCAAACTTCATTCTTATGCACTATTCCAGTTCAACGTGATGGAGCGGGTATATTCTTTGATGGATTAGAAACTTTCAACTCACAAGTTACAGTACAAGTGAAAGCTTATCCAATCATTCAGGGTGTAAATGACACTTACTGTTCAAAGGTGACAAATCCTCCTCAGGTTTGGTTTACTAGGACTACGTATTGGACATGGACACCGGATGAAGGTTTGAAATATCATCCAACAGGTACACCACCACAGTATAGAAGTTCATATGATGAAATATTGATGAATAGAAATGTATAAAATTATAAATTTATTTTTGATTAAATGGATTTAAATTCTGAAGAATTAGCGGGAGTATATAATACATACGTAGATGATATGATTAATGAAGCATTGAGTGATAATAGAAATGCTCTATCTAAGGAAAAATTAATGAAAATTCCATATTCTGAATGTTACTTAAATTCAATCACTGCAGCAATTGGTAAACAAAATAAAGGTAAAACATTAACGATATTAAAACAAATTATCATTATTGCTAACACTTCCCCCATTCACATGTGTTAATTTATATCAACCGTTCAGGTTCACCTTCAGATGATACATTTGAATCTTTAAAGCATTTAATCAAAATTCCAATTATTTATTTATCACAAGAAGAAGCAGAAGATTATTTAAAAAACTTTTTAATGTATAAAGAATTATATAATACAATCAAGAAGCAAGGATTAGAGGATAAAATTATTGATAAACAACGGGATGAATTATTTGAAACACTTTCTATTTCAAATTTTGATAGAGAATTTTTGCATTCACTCATTTTTCTAGATGATGCGGTGAAATCAAAACTAATAACAAATGAGAAATCATATTTTAATCAGTTATTAACTCAATGTCGACACATTCAGTGTTCATTCTTCATGGCTGTTCAATACTTCAAAGCATTAAGCACAAACATTAAATCAAATCTATCAACACTTTTCATTTTCAGTGGTTTTAGTCGTCAACAGTTGAACGTTATGCTTTATCAAGTGAATTTACCAATGAGCATTAATGAACTTTACACACAATATCAACAATTAGGTGAACATGGAAAAATAATAGTTGATTTAAATAAAGGATGTGTTAAATTTGATTAACTTTTTATAATTAATTTTTATTTTTTATTTATAATTAAACATGACAGAAATAGCAAATCTTTTACAGGTTCCATTAAAACAGGGGACAAACAAAAAGGGGGTGTGTATAATAGAACTATGAAAGTTCCAGACGGAATGAAAGAATTAGTTCATATTGTTGCTGGTCTTCAAAAAGATGTAAACAAATGAGAAACGTTTTAACATTACCAGAAGCTCAAGCATATGCCAAACGTCAAGGTCCAAATTGGGAAGCACATGAAGCAGACATTACAGGTCCAAATGGAAAACCTGATGGTATAAATGAAGTTTTCGTTACTGATGGTCGAGGTAATATTAAAGTCATAAATGGTTACAAATTAACTGTATCTGATTATCCTAAACGTAAAGCATATAATGAATGTTATCCTATGCAATTTGATGAAAATGGAAAAGCTGTTAAACAATACATTGGAGAAGGTGAACATGGCCCAATTAATTCATACCGTCATAATCCATATTCATATTTCAATGAAGAATTAAACGCTATTGAAGAAGGACCGGATGGATTACCACAATATGTTAATCAGTTTGATGGTCAATATGCAAATTTGAGACCTGAAATTCCAGCTAAGAAATTCTTTAAAGTTGCTTTATTCGATCCAGTGTTCAATGAACAGAAAGAAGCAATGAAAGCAGAATTTAAACCAATTCAAGTGGCAAGAATTTCTTCATCTTCACTTGCAGAAGCGTTCAAGGAATTGATAAAGAAACCACTTTATTCTCAACAAGGTTATAACTTTGATTTAATTAAAGAAAGTGATAGACGTAAATTAGAAAAATCAGATGGTTTTAAGAATGCATGTAATGAAATGATTAAAGATATTGTAAATGATGAAATAAGACTGGAAGAAACTCAAAGCAATATCAATAACATTATTGGTGCAGTTACAAAGAAAGTATAAGCAAACAATGATGAACCTTGGGATATTACCGTAACAACTAAATAAAACTTTAAATATATATTTTTCTTTTTTTATTCAATTATAAATGAGAAGACGTTTCACAAGTCAAAAGAACACTAACGCAAAAGCAGAGATTACGGTTGGTTATAACGTAAATGATGATAAATCACGAATTATTCAAAATGTTAAAGTTAATGTTAGCCCTGAATTAACAAGGTCAGCAACTCAACCAAATTTATTAACTCGTGACTTACCGAAGAATGAGGAGAATGAAGAAAACCATGAGAATGGAGACCCAATCATTTTATCTGAACCCGGTAAAGAACCCGTTGAAATCCCCACATATCCAACATACCCCCCACCTCTTTCATCAAACATCGAGAACCCAGGAATATACGATTCCAGTCGCAATGCGCCATATAAAATAGACATTAATTCTGAATTAATGAAAATTTACCGTGATATAATAACTGATAATTATGATTCAATAATAAATTTAATTGATCAATCCGGTTTAATTATTTTACCTTATGAATCATTAATTCACATTATCGCCATTCTTTGTGATGTTCAAGATTCAGACGTTAAGATTCAATTTTTCATAGATGATGAGGTTTCATGCTGCGGAACAGTTGCAAAAATAAATCCTATAAAGGATATTAGCACAATTAAGATATCAAAGAACGGAACAACAACTGAACTTCATTTAACATATAATGATATTTATAATAAAATAGTTGATGAATATAAAATATCACTTGAAAAATTCTTTGTTAAGGCTATTTAATATTCAAGCATTAACATTATTGAATAATAATCCTTTGAATCATAATCAATAATAATTGACCTTTCACCAGTTTCTATCGTTTGTTTTATTTCTTTTTGTTCCCCACTATCTGGATCGGTCATTGTAATTGTTTTTGTTATAGTATCAGCTTTATCTTTAACTTCAATCTTTTTTCCATCAGGATATTTAAACCAAAATTCCAAAAATTCGATATTGTCAATCTGTTCATATTTTAATCTATCAATTACATTTTTAATACCATCTGAAAATCTTATGAAATGGTCATTATATGGGTTTGATTGAACTAAATTTGAATGAAGTGAAATATAACCCGATGATGAATATGACATTGACTCATATTTTCTGAAAACACTGAAATTTATAACATGAATGAATTTCTTATTCGTTGAATTTATGAATTCTTGAGGTAATCTTATTCTAGTTTTATTTATCACTGGAAAATAACGCTTTACCATATTTTTAATCGTAATAAAAATGTCAATTATCAATATTATTTCGAATAATAGTTGTGAATTAAATTTAACAGTTAGTGGAATTTATAATGTTACTCTCGTTTCTGTGAGTGGTAAATTTAATCCCATTCTTTTAGACCCTTCAGATTATATATCATTTATTAAAGATGACCTTGAAAAAACGTATGATATGTATATAAATAATGTGATAACGAAATGGGATATTAACACAATTTTAAGTTATTTAAATGAATCATTTATCGTTTGGTATGAAGAAAATTTTAAATCAAAACCTGATAAACTTTTTGAACTTGATGAAATAAATAACCTTATTAAATTCCCGCTGAAAATTAAATTTTGTACTCCTCATCTTCGTTCATTGTTGGGGATATTAAATTTTGAAAAAGATGTTGGGGATGTTTTGTATTCTGACACTGGTTCCAATTTCATTTTAATCAAATGTGATAAAGTTAATACCCCAATGAGATTTTCACATCAAACATTAGACCCTAACTCTTACCCATCAATACAAAACATTTTATCCATCAACTTAAACATATTTTCTTTATCATATCCGTTTCAATTATCCGGGAATTCATTTATTCTTCATTCAAAAGATTTATCAAATATTAAATTTAGAATAACTGACCTATTTGATTGTGATTTAGAATTTATGAATGAAATATTATGGCAATTTCAAATAGAAAAAATAGCTGATGAGATAACAGATTAAATATTTATTTTTAAATCATAATAAATGATTAAACAACAGCAACCACAGCAACTTAAGGCACAGACCATTACTTACGCCACATATGCATATAATTCAAAGACGGCAGAACAAACGCAAAGGTTGAAATATGGAGATTTGGAGATAGTATTGAAAAATGACCATTTTGAATTCGTTTGCAAGGGTGGTGCAGTGATATCAAATATAAAAGAAATTTTATTTATGAATTCAAAAATTAAAGGAATAACGGATGATATAACATCAATTCCACCAGAAGAACAAAGATATTACGCATTAAATGCATTTCCTAAAGTTTTGAAGATTGGAAGATTTAATTTAAATGAGGAATTCATAGAAGGTTTCCTAAATGACATAATGAAGAAGGCAGATAAGGAATATGTGGATAGTGAGTTAATGAAGAAGGCAGATAAGGGACTTGTGGCTAGTGCATTAATGAAGAAAGCAGATAAGGAATATGTGGATAGTGAGTTAATGAAGAAAGCAGATAAGGAATATGTGGATAGTGAGTTAATGAAGAAGGTAGATAAGGAACTTGTGGCTAGTGCATTAATGAAGAAAGCAGATAAGGAATATGTTAATGAAAAAGATAATGAAATTATCGAAAGGGTTGAATGGTACCATGAACGGACATCGAAGATTTTAAAAACTAAAGCTGATACAGGATGGGTTTCAGAATGTTTAGACCTTAAAGCAGATAAAACTTATGTTAACGATGAGTTAGAGAAGAAAGCAAATAAAGAATATGTGAATGAAATATACCAAAGTTTGATAGGAACAACTAAAAATATTGAAACTATTGCTGGTGACTTTTCCGTCTATGAAGAAAATAAATATTTTAGAGGGCAATTGGTACATTCCTTAAAAATGGTATGCGTGTAAACTCATTCCGAAAAAATAACAATGAAATGTATGTAAGTTATAAAAAGAATGATGACACACAAGTTAAAGTTCCATTAGACAACAACTGTTACTTAAACTTATATGGAGACGAACAAAAGAAATATTTAAGAGTTTATGAAATGACGGATATGACATTGTCTAACGTAGCTCCAGTAC